CGGCAGTTGACACCGGTTCGGGTAACGTCAAAAGTTCTGCCATATATCATCAAGGCATGTGTACGGCCTCAGACAATAAGACAGTATGAGGTTCCAGTCTGCTTCCCTAACTTGATCCAGAAAAGTGGTCCATGTTGCGGAGAGCTATCAGGATGGCGGTTTTGCTTCCCAGTTTACGTTTGAGGGAAAAGTGGTCGAATTTTCAGCTTTACCTGTCGCAAAGATAGACGATGTAAAACTTCCAATGCAACTTCCAACTTCCACTTGCGACTTGCAGGTCTAAGCTACAGTCAACGAGAAATTATTCACATCTGATATCTCTTTGCCGTAGGAAAGCTTACAGATGATCATGTCTAGTCTTTCTCGTCTAATGGTTATTGAATCCCAAACGTCAGTATGCGTTGATTCTCTGACACCCGCAGCTCATTACACCTCATATGTAATTTGGCCCATCATCGTGTGAGTGCTCCTGCTGTTTATTGGTATATTCACATCTGTACTTTATTCTCTTTCTCTTCATTTGCTTTATCTGAGATAGGTTGTTCTGGTCATGTTCACCCACGACGTAGATTACGTTGAGTTAAATTGCCACGCGCTTAGTACTGGCTCGTTCTTCGTTGAGAAACAAAATCCGAAGATGAAAATTTTGCCTTGTGCTTTCGTTCAAGGTGAAAGCGGAAGATGGTCAGTCATCTCTTAGTTCAAGTTTGCACTCCTTTAAGCAGTAGTCATGTACTCACCAGCAAGTACCTTGTCGTGTTTAACTTCTGTGCATTCTGTCCTTGTCAGTGATAGAATTGTTTCTTGGATTTAATGATAATATGAAGTGATATCAGATAATTCAGCCACAGAAAGATATAAATATATGATTGCCATTCCTAAAATCGACAAATCTGTGAACGTGAGTATGGTTTCTGGAATCTCACTTTATGGACCTGCAAAATCAGCTATTTAGTGTTGAAAAGTAGCATTTCATCTGGGGTTTTAGCACTCACCCCTCCCATTTCTCCCTGTGAAAAACATTGCAGGCCGTTCGACTTTTCAACATTTATGTACCCTCAGACAGTCGCTGTCACGTGCACACCAAATATTGAAAAGTACTGCTATCGATGTGGAAGTTATTTTCAAAATGTGAATTTGGTTAAGAAATCATTTTCGCGTGACTCACCCGTCTGACACGTAATTAATAAAGATATTGCCGTTTGTGATATGGCCAAACATTCGGCGTAAATAGTGCGCAGTTTCGAAAGATGATGCTCGTTTTAGACATGATGGGAAGTCGTGATAACGCCGGTTATTAATCATTTATCGAAACTTATTAATACACGTCTGCAGCGATCGTTAAACTTATTGCAGAAGATGTACAATGAGCATATCGCATGGGTGCAAGCGACAAAAATTTAATTTTTATCAGAAAACCGCGAGGATGGAGAACATTGGAAACGCATTAAATATCGGTAGATGGGTTTCGATAGCGAACAGCAGCAAGGAACGGGAAAGAGAAAAGTCGAAAGTAAAGGATGAGGATCCATCCATTGTCATATATCGCTTTTCTTTCCGTTTCACTTGAACAGCAACTTGTTGGAGGTGTTTTTAATAGCCCGGACATTAATTTAATCCGGCTCCCAAGAATGAGATTCGAATAAAAACAGAAATGTAGAGGAACGAAATAAGTAAATGAGTGGAAAAAGAAATGACTATAACGCGTAAGGCTTGAACTATGAATAGAAAAAATAGCACAAGTTAAAACATGGGACCTGAGGTTTGTCAGTTTTAACACAATTAGTTTACCATTAACGTGTCATAAGAGCAAAATGCACAATTTGAATCGAACAAGGTGCGATGTTTTTTTTCATAATTCCCTGGAAGATTTCAGCAGTTATTTTTGAAAATAGGAGTAATAGGAACGAGCAAAAAGATCCGTTCAAACCAGTCTAATTTGATGAGGATGAGGTTTTGTTTTTACATTTTTCTAAGTCACTGCAAGAACTCCTTTTCTGCGTATTTGACAGTACGTTGGGGCCATTGAAGACTCTACTTTCGCAGTGGGTCTGGAACATGTGTTGTCGTTTTAGCAAACCATTCATGATCGACGAATGAATGAACTTGCCTACCTCCTTAAGGTCGCGATGTCAATCAAGAGGTTAACAAGTCATTAATGGCTGTCAATAAACATTGTCTGCAGAAAACGCGACGGGTCTTATGTCGATAATCTTGTCCCACACTCCTCGAACTTGGTTGATTGCCAGAGTTCATTATGGGAGGTCATAGTTTCACAGTTACAGATGTGTAGTTAACGGTTCAAACAGGCATGCATCAAGAGAGCATGTGATAGGAGAAATTAATGAAGTAGTCCGTGGTGGTTCGCAACCACCGATAGCATTATTGCATTTCCAAAATGAAGTTCTACTAGCAGCTTTTGAAGCGCTAATCGAATCGGCACCTTTAAAAGAGCCTCTTGAAAAGCTGTCCCCACTATACGAAAGGAGTAGCAGGTTTTGCGCATAAATGAATGGGTGAACGAAACAACCTACCAAGCAGAAAATGAAGGAATGAATTAATCGTTTCTGTGCCGAAGACTGAACGAATGAATAAATGCATGCAATTGCAGATGATTTCTTGATTCATGCTTGAAGACACCGAATAAAGCAGATGTTAATAGTTTATTGCCAACGCGTTTTTCTGCTTACGCCGTATCAATCCAGGCACAACCGATATGGCAGGCAGTATATCGTTTTATATAGTAAGTGAAAAAATAACACCATATTTTGGCTAGTATATTCATAACTTAATTTTTTGACTTTATTTTCTTGCACCAACTGTCGTTCAAAAGTTTCTTATCAAATTAGTGATCGCATCTCATTTCGTCACCAAGTGCCGTCTCATTTGTCTAAAGACCAAGCCTTAACTGCTCCTTGTCGATTGCAGGCAAATTCGTCTGTTTGATGGTGTGCCCGTCAGAAGGAGCGTTTCGATGAATAAATGCAAGAATGAATGGATGTACGACTGAGTAAATGAATGAAACAGCAACAATTTTTTTTCAATATCTGATCACTTAAGATGACTTTCAAATGTTTGATTAATGAAGAAACTAGATCATGAAAACGAATAGTTCACAGTTGGAGATGACCTGAATAGATCAGGAAGTTTAGCTCACGCTTTCGAGTCCGGATAGATCACCAACCCTTTGTCATTCGCTTGGTAAATGATTACAAACGAAACTGCCATCGCATCGAAGGCAACCCAATATTGGGCACGATGGCTGTAAATTCTGCCCTAGTAATTAAGTCGCATACCTGATTATGCGATAACGAACATTAGAACCTAACCGTAAGGTCAGTGAAAAAATTGCTCTGCGGATGGCACTCTTCATGAGAAAATAGATCCCTGGCCCATTACTAACATGTATCAGAGGTTTATATCTGACCTGTCTAACTTCATTTTTCATATTGCTTTGATGGCGGATAATTTTTTTTATCATTCCATAGTAGTGTAACCAGGGAGTGGCTGGGTTGGAACTCGGCAAGCTCATTATGTTGAAAAAACTGATATTGCCTAATTGCAGTAATGACTGAGCGACAGCAATCCGAGAACTGAACAAACAAGGTGGCCAATCTCACCTATGCATTGCGGTTGGACGTCAGTACATCATAAGCTACATGAGGAATATGGGAAACGCATCTTGTTCAAGAAATTCCTCAGGCCACCATTAGCGCTAGTACCGCGTGGCAAAACTTCATTCGATGACAACACAGTGTTCCGACTGTCGCCGTCATCATCTTCCATGACCGCTTCTACTTCCGGGTCGTGGAGGCAGACGCGTCAGCCAGTGCTTCCAGCGTTTCCGATCCCATACCAGAGTCTGAGTCTCGACAAAGGATGGCCGGAGTCTAGGGCAGATTCCTTCATTATACTTGCAACAGGTTGATTTTGACCGTTCTGTCGGTCGGCTGAACAAGAAGAAGTGGCTTCCGCTTCCTTTCCACAGGCACGTTCCAGACTCGCGGGTCCGCTACTTTCGGAGGAAGCAAAAGGCAAGTTTGACGAATTACAGACGAAGGGTCCCTCGACATTCATCTCTATTTTTCCAGAATTTCTGCGGCGTCTATGTTTTTCTGTTCGCTTCTTCAAACTGGATTTTGTCGACGTGGATTGTTTTAAAACCTTGTCATTAAAGCAGGCAAATCTTTCGCCATGCAGCGGTTTGGCTTGTAGTCAAAGTTTACAGGTTTCCATCGATTTTTTTTTGAAATTCAATTTTATCATT